GTATAAAAATGTTCTTCTAAATTATTTACAAAAATATAATTATATGATTCATGATAAGTTGACATAAAATTTTTATGTCCATGAAAAAATATTAGTGTTATAGTTTTTAAATACTATAATATTAGTATATTATTATTATAAGAGTAGGTAATACACAATATATATCAATCAATTTTTTAATTATTAGGTAGGTACATCCTTATGATCACATTATATACAATTAAGTAGGAAGTAGTTATTAGTTATTATGGAGTTCAACTTGTTTAAAAAATATATTGAGTCAATTCGATTTGTTTTGTTTTGTAAAAACTTTATGTTCAAAAATATCTGCAGACAAAATGGAGATGATTGCAGAATTGTATARTATGTACTTGTATGCAAAATAATGTAGTGTCATGAATGATCAACAAACTTCTTCAGGGTCTAAAAAACAAAATTTATAATTAAAATGCTTGTATTTTAATTAAAATAATAATAGTTCTAATTTATTACAGAGTTACAGCGATTTGAAAATTATTAAAGGTATAATCAGCAAATTAATTATGTGTAATGAAACTTAATTTAATTTTTTGATTAAAAACTTAAAGATTTAACATTAAATGTTTTAAAAAGATTGGTATAGTACTATCTAAAATTTTAAAATATTATGCATTACGCGTATTATTTTATTAACTTTAAAAAAAGTAATAAAATGTACACTTGTTATTAATTCTTATTATGTAACTCTGATATAAATCATAATTTGAATACATTTAAATGATATGGATTGAAATTAATAATGACATATTATACAAAAATAAACAGTTTGCAAAATAATAACAATATGGCAACACAATGTCACAATGAAGCAAAATTATGAATTTTAATGATACAAATGTTCTTAGTCCAAATAAAAAGAATACTTAATAAATTATATTTAACAAATAGTACAATTTTAAATAACAATCAAAGACTTTCTGGTAGCTACATAGAGTATATTTTTATATTTCAGAAAAGCGTAAAATATTATTAATTCTATATATGATTATAGTACTCAGTGGCGGACTGGACGACTGGGATACCGGGAAATTTCCCGGTGGGCCGCTGTTGGTATACAATATATATTCATTAATATTGAAATGATGAAATAATAAATTAAAATATTATCTTATAAGTAATAAGTATGTAATATAAAATATCATTAAACATAAAAACCTAGATTTCTGATTAGGTACTATAAAATGCGGGACTGGCTTGTGTTCGGCCAGACCAGGCTTTACAGTAGGCTTACAGTAGGTTACAATAGTAGGTCCCTGTATAATAT